TATCTCTTTCATATTCAAATCATAACTAGTCTTTAATAATAACTTAAGTCCCTATAGCGTTAAGCTTAATTGATTTGTCATTGTTGCACATAGATGAATCTTTCAGCATCAAATTTTTTTCCACTAAGTGTGTCTAGGTATTGAAACTAAATTAACATCAAAACAAAGTTTAGTACGGTCTATCTTTATGTATCCCATATTTTCACAAAAGTAATAGCCAGATTTATCATTTTTAGGCTTTCGCTGTTTATTTTGAATCGAACCGAATACAACTTTCTAATTCTTTATAACTTGTCTTTAGAGGTACTTGTCAAGTGAGTAATATCAATTTTATCTTGTCAAGTGAGCTTATTAAGAGTCTACTTTCCCTTTTAATAGTTGTAATTGATTTTAAATTAGCTGAATTGTGCAATAATAGAAATCAAAACTAAATGCACGAGTAAGTCATCAGACAGCTCAACCTTTGTGCTTTTAGTTTTGAAGCAAGATTAGACATCTCCATGTGAAACTAAGTTCGCTAAAAGTGTTTTAGTTCCAACCTTTTTGCCATTTGCAAAGCGTTTTTTCAATTTATTTAAGAAATTCATTGGCAGTAGTTACCTCATTGGACACAGTGCCCCCAATGTTGTTGGATTTCCACGCTTTATGATCATAAGACGTATGCGGCTTGAACGATTCCACTTATCTAAGTCCATTTTTATTAGCGGAACTTTTATCCATAAGATTAGTGGGTTGTTAAGTCCTTAAAGTAAGGTCTAGATCGATGCCGCAAAGAACGATACAAACGTTCTCTTTCCAGCCCTTCAACTTTGTTTTAAGTACATCAATTGAATTGATTATGGCAGATATTGTAGAAGTGAATGGATTCACCGAATAAAGAACTTAAACCTAAATAACATGTTTATGTAGAAATTCGTATTGGACAACAATTAATTTCAAATAATGGTGAATCTCATCACAAGAGACCCAACACAACATTGATATTTAGTCTTTGGATAGAAATACCAATTTGTAAATGGCACTCTTGGTATAGTAATCAAATATTGACAATAAATCTAGTTAAACATCAAGTGTATCTTTGGACCGACTCAATGTTCACATAATGAAAAAACTTCACAATTGTCACATATTTATCACAACATGTGTGTAAATAATTGGGTCAAATATTAACATTCCTTTGGGCTGGTCAATACCCGTATGAATTATGTACACACTACCTTCCTAATATTCGAAATAAATTAATTTAGGCAAGAGATGTTACTTTGATAACATGTTGCTTCAACTAATCTATTTTAGAAAATTAGTAATCTGAAATAAATATTAAGTACCAAGATTTGAAATTGATTGTCCTTTAATCTTTATCTTTTATTTTTATTTTTGTTTTGACAACAAAAAAAATCGCAAAATCTAAAAATATTGAAATTTAGAGCTAAAATTAACATCCCTAAAATTTGAGAAATCCAAGTATGGATTTTAACCTTAAAATTCTTGATTCTTAAAGGTTTAATATTAAGTTGGCTCTGATACCACTTATTAAAACTTTATGAAATCTTAAACTTTATAAAATTAGAAAACCTAATTGCTTAATTAGCAGATCCTTCATGTCAAATCATCAAAAAAATTAATAATGCAGAACATACCTTAATTTTTTGGGAATGATTCTTTAATAATGGATCATGATTTCGAATCTTGAATCTTGATTATTGGCTCTTTTGGTTATTGAGTTCCTGGTCTTGATTTTGGCTTCTTGCTCCATAATCTTAATTGTCTTATTCTTCAATTTAATTGCTCAAATCCTTCTTCTTGATTTTTTTTTTCAATCATTGTTTTTGATTGTGAGTTTTGGATTTTATTCTTCAATATCCTCTCTATTGTATTATTGTGTTGATGTGATAACACAAAGAATAAGAAGTTGCATATGAATTGGTGATCATAACATTATATATAATTTTCACATGTATTTGGCCAATCGTCAAATACAATTCTAATGGATCTGGTCTCAACACATATAATCCAACCCACACTTTATTTGGATGCTCTAAACCCAACAATTTATTTCTTTATTAGATCACTTTAATTGTGTTTAACTTTAAGATAGCTTTATATACAATTCATTACATATGTACACCCACAATGACAATTAATAAATCTAACATTGATTTCTCCCCAACATATTATAATTTTAAAGAAATGTTTGTTGAATTGTGTGTCCATATAGTATGTTTTGTTGTGATAAAATAATATTTTACAATAAATAAATTGTTATTTTATTTATTTATTTATTTATTATTATTGAGTATACGAATTAAAGTGCCTATTATCTCTTGCTATAATATAAGTTAGGTACTTGCTTTTGAGAAGTATAGCATAACACAATTTATATTATGATCATAAATAATTTGTTCACAACTAATGTATAAGGATTGACACCTTATATTGGAATTTTGTAGTATTAATCGATTTTGGGTTTGCGATTTGTCCATGTCATAGAAATAGTTCAAGGTAACACTAACACATTTGAGTGTATCATGATCATTCGGATAATTGAATTTCACATGATCGTCGGGTATTTCATCTAAATTTATTGACAAAGTTATGTATATTTTTTTGTGATTTTAATGATTCTTTGATTCACCAATAAATTTGATCGATTTGATTGGTCAAGTATCTCATTGAATTGAGAACTTGACAACGAGCAAAGTAGAGAACATGAATTCGTGTAGGGGAATCATCGTCTTGGGTAGAGTAACTATTCAAGTATTTTATATTGAACGATTAAAATTTGAGTTTAGTGTTTAGCGATAGCTAAATTTTGACATCTGTAATTAGTTTACATGACCACTAAAGAAAATGACACTTAAGTTAGAGGAGCAAAACAATAATTTATACTTGTACATAATTATTGGATCTCGAATGGGAATAATACACATATGATAGATCAGATAAAAGTATTACAATTTTATTGGCTTAATTGATCTTATATATTACGAGAGTGCAGTCTTTTATCATTAGTAGAAAAGGTAAAGACTAATAATTAGATTGGGTGATCAAATTATCGACTAGACAAGATCTATTTATTGAATTTGGAAAATATATGTCTGATTAGATATCTGTGATAACTCTATAAAGTATTGAAAATAATTACAATAATTATAAATTTTTTGGATTAAATTTTGCAATTACTATAAACTTTTGGACTGAATTGTAACTGTTATGAAAGTTATAAACTTGACTGTAATTACAATTAAAGTTCTAGGACTACACACTAATTAAATATAAACTAATTGTATTTGAATTTTAATTAAAACTGCAAGTTGGATTTTAATTAACTCCTAATTGGACTTCATGTGTAATCCTTATTGTAATTGGATTGTAACTTTTTTTTTCGTTATAAATAGAGACTAGATGGAACCTAGAAATCCTAATTATTTCATATTTTTCAAATTTGGAAAGAGAAAAAGTTATGTTCTTACGTTATTCATCTATCCAGTCTAAAATTAGTTTCTTGATTTAATTAAAAGAAAGTGTCCCACCTATTGATATAATATTGACTTTGGAGAATGTAATAGAAGACGTCAAAGTTTGAAGCATCAAGTTCTTGAAATTAAAATTTGAAAACTCGTTATCCGAAAAATTGAAAGTTCGTTATTCAGATTTAATTCAAGAATTAATCTTCGAATTTTAGATAAAAATTCGAATACCTATTATTGATATAACATACATGTGAATATCTAGATAATCTTGTTTCATGAATTAAATTTTTTTAATTTCCTAATAATTCTAATTCCACATTCCAACAATCCTAACATGGAAGGTTTTCATATTTAAATCATATCAAATGCTCCATTAAAGAAGAAACTATTGAATTTTATTAAGCGGTAAGGGGAAGTCCAAGCCCAGATTTAGTTTAGAATTAATTACTTTTTAGTTTTTGCTCACATCTGATAGGGATCAAAATTTAGATCTTAACTTAAATCAAAGTCAATAATTAATTTTATCCACATATTTCATGGGATCCACAACTTTTTAACTGCATATTTCATCAATTTTTATTAAAATATACTAAAGATCGGATTTTAATTCTCACCAAATAAGGACTTTATATAGGGAAAATTACATAACTACAAAATTTCAAGATACATTTTCAAAATTTTAAAACTTGTAGATTTTTTTATTTGTTTTTTCAAAAATCAAGTGGTCACATTTGTGACCTCTAATAAAAGTTTGGACTGTTAATGACCACTAATAAAGAAAATTGTGATGTATAATTTAATTAATTAGGTCACGATCAAATTCACATACAATTTATATAGTCACATAATAGTCATTAATCATACAAAGTTACAAACAAAATTTGTGAATCACAATTACAAATTTAATCATAAATTACACATTTTGTTAAGTTACAAAATATTCATTTTATTAGTCACAATTATCCAAATAATTGATGGTAAACTTTCTTCGTCCCACCCACTAATCCACCACCACTTACATCACTCAAACGTCGCTGCCACCTCACCACAATTGCCACCACAACCACCACCACCACCACCACCACCACTTATATCCAGTGTTCTAAAAGGTGGCGAAATTCGCCGCCTAAGCGCGCCAATGCGCGACGCGTGGCCGAAACGCCTCGCATTCGGGGTGTGCGTGTAACAATGCGGTCAACGCAAGCGTTGACCACTAAAACGGGGGCACGGGCCCAAACACGCATTTTTAAAATTTTTTTTAAGCTTTTTTTTTAATTATACCATTTGTACTATATATATATATATATATATAAAATATAAATTAGTGGGATCAACTTTGGGTTACTGTGCAAGCAAAGAGGCTTCTTCAGTGGAAACTGGAAACAGAGCCACTCGTGATTTGGAGCTCCATTGCTTCTCTCTCATCTCTACAAGAGAAACAGAGAGATTAGAGATTTGGGGAAAGAATGTTGTTAGTGATTGTGGTGTCAATTAAAATTATTTAATGTTAAAGGGTGGGGAAGATGAATGGCTTACGGCGGTGATGTGGCGGCAACTTCGGCTAGTCTACCACTGCCGCTCGGTGGAAATTCTCTCAGGTGCTGGAATTGTGTGGTTTGGGTGGATAATTAGGGTTTGGTTGTTTGTATTTCATCTATTTTTGAATTGTTAATTGGCAGCAAGTAAAGTACCCTCATTGTTAAATGTCAGTGCCAATTGTTGGCCAACATTTGTTTTTGAAGAGATGAGGGTACTGAGGATGATCTCGTCTTGTTGATTCCATAAGAGAAATGCGGATTTGGAATGGTGGCAGCTGAATTTGTAGTGGGTGTGGGGTTGGGTATGGTGGAAGGTGGAGGAAGATTGACCTGAGCACGCCAAAGGAGGAAATTCTCGTGGGTTAATTTGATGGTGATCAAATGATGAATGTTGGTGAGGCTAGTGATAGGAACAGAGGTTTGTTGTGGGTGGGTTTCAGTGAAAGATGAGGGTGGTGAAGACTGAAGAGTGAAGACAAGGGACTGGCCATTGGAGTAGAGGACATACGCAGGTCTTGGAGTAGAGAAGATGAGGGTGTTGATCAGATTTGGGATTGTCAAATTTGCGATGTTAGTCCTCAAGGTTGAATTTCAACTATTTTGGTCAGTTAAGTTTCAATTAAAATGAAAACGGTCCTCAATTAAAATGAAAAAAGTGAAATTAACCTTTTTTTTATGATATAGTAAAAAATCTATTTTTTTATATAAAAATATATTTAATTCCTTAAAAATAATTAAAATAATATTAAAAATACAAAACGCATTATGACGCTTATTCGACGCATTGACACGCCTAAACTTGTGGTTCTTGATTCTCGACCTCGACGCATCGCAACGCATTATGCCTTTTAGAACATTGCTTATATCAACAACCACCACTAACACCTCTTCAATCTACCTTACACCACCATCCTTACCATCACCACACCACCACCTGCACCAACAGTTACTTCCACCTCTTCAAATGCATCATCACCTCAACCTCCATTACACTATCACCTCCACCTCCAACTAACCACATAGATACACCAACCATAGTTGTAGTGCCATCACCGCCATCGCCATCGCTACCTGCTCCAACAACCCAATACACAGCCCAACACAAATGCACAAAAAAATACAAATCGCACCACCCCTCTGAAAATGGACCACACTTGGTGGATTGGCTTCCCTTAACTGACAAAGAAGCCGCGCCAGGTATGGTGGATGCACTACGTCTTTCACTAAATAAATTGCTCGCGGGTGAAGTTAAGAGCAAAATATCTTCTCGAATCTGATTTCTTCAATTTAAATATCATCATCATTAAAGGTTTAGGTGGGCTTCAAATGAGGGGGTAACAGTCGATAGTCATGCAACATTGATCTGACAATCGTGTTGATGGTTCCAAAGATGGCGATAAAGTAATAATGGTTGTTGGTGGACGGCAGCATTTTGAGAAAAATGAACTTTTCAATTTGTTTTTGGAGAGGTAGTGTATGAGTGGTTGTGGAGAGTGGTGGCGAGTGAATGATAGGGTTTGGTGTTTATTTTTGAAGATATGGAAAGAATAATCTCTATGATACTTTTCGAATAGTGTATGATTATTTGTATAATTATTATGCAATCTTTTCTTTTAGAGTTATTTATAGTCATATAAATAGGGGTTTTTCCTTTGTAATAGAAACACGTTTATTATATACAATTTATAATATTCTTCATACTTATTATTTAACTTTTTACACGTGAATTTTTGTTAAAAAGTTGAAGTTTGAAAGATGTACCCATGTACTCGTGTCCGAAATTTGGATTCTTTTTAGCTATATCCCCATATCCTACATTTTAGAAAATAAAAAATCCGACACTTATATACGTTCCCGTACTTGATACCCCGTATCCGAGTCGAGCATCATAGGGGGGCATGTGTACTTGTGCAGTTTAAAAGATGGCACTACATCATTTATTTGTCTAATTATTTATTGTACTTCCATGTTTTATTTTAACAGCTTAACTCTTGCCAATATTTTTCTCTACATTGNTGACCTATTGACAACGTTTTTCAAATATATGTTGCAAAAAGTGACATTTCGCAACGTTTGCTGACCATTGCGAAAAGTAACACTTTTTACAACGGTCAGAGAACGTTGCCAAAGGTCTCACTTTTCGTAACGAGCGATGGACGTTGCGAAATGTGGTCTTTCACAATGTTCAAATGAACGTTGCTAAAGACACCTTTCGCAACGTTCATCGACCGTTGCGAAAGGTGTCCTTTAACAACATCCATTTGAATGTTGCGAAATGTGTGCTTTAGCAACGTTCATTTTTGTTGACCATTGTGAAAGCCCAAAAGTCCCACACCTCCACAAAAATTATCAATTTCATTAGCCCTAATTTCTCTTTCTTCTCGTCTCTGCCTGTGCCTGTGCCTCTTGCTCTTCTCTCTTCTTCTCCCTTGTAGGCAATACAATGCCATGTTTTCATCGACTCCTTCTACTCACCTCACGACTTTCTCACCTCCTCATGTAAAGAAGACCCAGTTATTCTACAAGCCCGAATTTTCTCTAAGACCCTCGAAAAAGCTTCAGTATTTGGTACCCATTTTTGCCAGTGCTGATGAGGGGTCCGGAGTAGCTACTGCTGTTACAGTGGAGGATGAGAAACCTTTTGAAAGTCCTATGAGTGCTGGGGAGAATCTAGGTTATAATGGGTCTCCGCCACTGGTCGTCGCTGAAGCTTCGGAGCCAGCTAAGGAGAAAATTGACAACTAAGTTTTACTCTGACAGATCTTGGTATAGGTAATTGACAGGAATTATTTAGTTTGAATCCAGATTAATTAACGAGTGAAATTTGAGAAGAATAGAGAGTTCTTTCTTTACAAAGAATGAGGTTCGTTTTTCCTCTGCACTTTCTCTCAGCAATTTTTCTTATTTTAATTTATTTGTTAGTTTGATTAATACTACTTTTGGGGGTGGTTTATTGATTTTTTGTTGTGTTTTTGTTGATGAGTAGTTGTGGAAGAGATTTGTGCGGAAATCACTACCGAAATCAACCTTCTCGCAGAAAATTGGAAGAATATTCTAGGGGGTCATTTGTGATATCTGGTGTCGTCAAACTCCTCGAAGGCAACCAAATCTGGTGTTATCTTCTACTGTCCAACATTTGATTGCTTCAAAGCATATGTTTTGGAGATGGCTACTTCTCCTGATTATTACATATTTTTGTGACATAACTTAGATGAAGCGCACAGCAGTTCTAGTTTGCATGCTGCAGCTGGACCTCGTCTGGCAGAAGAATGTGCTACATTAGTAAGCTACTTAGACATGCTCACATTTAAGTTGTGCACCATTGGTATGCTGAATGCGTATAATAATTTTTAAAACTACTAGTAATATTCATTTTTTTTTGGGAAATCATGTGACAATATTGCGGTATCTTGAAGAATTTTGACCTGCCATTTCACTCCTTAAAATAAAAGGCTTCATTGGAAGTTATGTCCAAATCTGAACTGAGGTAGAAAGTATGCTTCTCCTTTACAGGATGGTTGCCGAACAGGCATGGCAAAAGTTACTAATGCGTATGACCTTCCTGCAAGGTGTGTAGATCAGTTGATTTGTTAAGTGTTATGCCCAGGACTATCCTTGTTTGCTCCATTACTTGTGTTTTAAGAACCAATAAATACATGTTGAATATTTTCAATGATAACATACTAATATATATTTTACATATTTTGATGAAGAATGATTATTTCAATTATCAAGGTTATAGTTGATCAAAATATAATACAGAACCTCTTTGCTGTGTAATGCTGCATTTCACTATTTATGTTAGTTCGATATTGAGCCACGTGAATATATTTAGCAAACTTTTATCATACTACGTATTACTTTTTAGTGGTATTGAGCCACGTGAATATATTTAGCAAACATGAATATAATTTTTTATGGTTTTGTGTTTTTTTTATATCGACTGGTACGAGTTTTCTTGATAGTATCTTTGTCTTCTTGTTGCAGTTGTATGTGATTGCTGTATTTGCTATTTGTATTGGTATCACTTCTAAATATGATATGGTGAAAAAAATGATTCCTATTTACTTGACAAGAAGTTCCTGAGCAAAATATACTGTTTCTGCTACTATAAAGATAGATGATTTAAACTTAAACGAATGTGACTTTTGAATTCATGGAAATTCCAGTTAATCTGCTTGTCTTGGGATTTGTTGCTGGCTAATTAGAGATGATTCCATGTCTTTGGCTGTTTCTGTTTTAGTTCTTTCAATTTACCTTGCCTTCGAGAAGCGTGACGACACTTAAAAGAAAATTTATCATCATCGAAATCAACCTAATCTGGTGTTATCTGGCCACAGATAATAAATGAAATATTTATTCTCCATTCCATTTAAGTTTAATAGATTACAACTATTCCAGCAACTTCATTTTGCTTATCTTTCTTTGCTTTTCTTCCCTGTTATAGTTGTTTCAAAATGCATAAGATGTGAAATCTATCTTTATCTTCTTTATTCAGTACAGACACGGACTAGCTACTCGAGGAATTCATTAGTTTTGTGCCTAAATTTTAAGTTATTAAAAAAGCTTAACTTAGTTTTTGTCACTACTCTTAAAGGTGTGGCACCAATGCCTTTAATAATGGCTGCTTGTTGCTGATGCTGCGATTGGTTATCTTAAGAACTAAACTATTGCATCAACTATTTTTATAATGTTCAGTGCACAGTTGACCAAAGCATACCAAACGGCCAATGTTCTCTTTGAGGTTTTGAGAGCAGTCAATCAGACTCCAGCAGTGGAAGTTGATCGCGAGGTAAACATGAATTATTTATTTGTTATGATTTAGATGCTTTCAATAAATATTTTTTAGTGCTATCATCCTTGATAAAGAAGGTTAAGTTTGTTTTGAAAGTAATTCAGTGCTATCATCCTTGAACTGATACTTGTCTTGAAATGTTAGGATGTAATATTTTACGTCTTGTGTATTAACTTGTCTTAATCATTGTTTGTAGGGTGCTCTGGAAGAGTTAATGACAGATTTGGCTAGAGCAAAGAAAGGAAAGCCCCCAAGAGTCCAAAGAGAGGATTGAGAGTTTGATGAAGAAGCTCATGAAGGCAATAGTGGGGAAGAAGCAAAACTTAGACAGCTTCGTGATCTTTTCTGTATTGTAGTGTTTTATTGTGTATTAAGAATAAATAGTACGTAGTCTATGTTTATTGTGTACGGATTAAATGTTTCATAATGAAGTTATAATTTTAATTTCACAGTCTTAAAATACTTGTGCATAAAAATATGATGTTTCTTTCTACTTTTGTTGGTCAATGTCAAAAATACCTACTTTTGTTGGTCAATGTTAAAAATAGAAAAAAAAATAGGGACAGGAAGGGCTACGGAGGCAGGCAAGCCACCACAAAAAATAAAAATAAAAATAAATAAATAAATCCTTTTTTGCAACGGTCATTGAACGTTGCGAAAAAGGTTTTTTGCAACGGTCAATGAACGTTGCCAAAAACCTTTTTCGCAACATTCAATGACCGTTGTAAAAGGGGTTTTAGGCAACGTTCAGTGAACGTTGCGAAAAAGGTTTTTCGCAACGTTCATTGACCGTTGCAAAAAACCCCTTTGACCGTTGCAAAAGACCTTCCACTCTACGGCAACATCAAAGGCCACAACATACGCCTGACTGCTGCAAAAGACCTATGGCAACATTTTTCGCCCGTTGCAAAAGGCAGTTTCTGGTGTAGTGACTTTTCCAATAGTGTATGATTATTTTCCTTAATAGTTGATTGTATAATTATTATGCAATCTTTTCTTTTAGAGTTATTTATAGTCATATAAATATGGTTTTTTTTTTTTTACTTTGTAATAGAAACAAGTTTATTATATACAATTTATAATATTCTTCACATTTATATGTGATAGTGGTAATGGCGGTGATAGACAAAAGTGGGTGACGAACGGCGAAAGGTGAAGGTAAATATGTTAATTGGGGAAAATTGTACAAAATGATAAGTGGGGTGGTGTGAGGTAGTTGATCTTCAATCCCGAGTTTTGATTCTTCAAGATCTTGATGTAATTTGCGTTCAATTCTTGCAGGTTTGATCTTCCTTTTCAAAATATGAACCCCATTGTTCGTGTGAAATTGACAACTTACTGGATTTTTTACAGTAATAGTATGATGATTTGAGAGTATAGTCCCGCGAGAAATAATTTCTAATTCAAGTGTAACCGTATTGTATCAGATTTGAAGTATTGAACACAAAAGTGATTGTATAATTGTTCTAAGAATTATGTAAAAAGCGTCTATTTCTATCGAATTATGGAATAATTATATTATATTTGGAAGCTACTGATTGTTACATATTTCAATTCTTAACTATCTAATTTAATGTATATCATACATTCTTGACAATCGATAATCTTATTATATTAAACTTTCTTTTTCAAAGTATGTTAATTCTATTCTAAACAAGATTTGATCCTAATCTTAGTTTGAATTCATATACATAGCACGCATTCAGTCATATGATTATCAAAGCACCATACATGCTATTCCTAACATCTATTATCTATGTGTTAACCATGTAGTACTCTAAACCTATTATGAGCCTTCCAGTACTACAATAAGCAACTAAGTATCTAAATAGTGCGCAAGCATTTAAATAATACAACTAATCATACATGATTAATCAAGAAATACAAGAATTATTTAACTACGTGTCTTTAAATTGAGAATAAATAAACAAAGGGTTCATGTTCATCTAATATATATAAATAAGAATTTAGCCTAGCATAATTTTTAATATATTACAAGAAGAATAATGGAAAATCATCACCTGGAATGAATATGGAGACAAGAAGTATGTGGAAGCAATTTCTTGTTCTTGATCTTCAACCCTGAGTCTTGATTCTTGAAGATCTTGAAGTGATTCACCTTCAGTTCTTGTTAGATTTGATCTTCTCCCTCAAAAGATGATATTATGATATAAATGTTTATTAAGGGGCTAGAGAGAGCTTCGTAAAGTTTAGCCCTTGTCTGTATTTATAGGAGTTAAAATTAGTTCGAGAAACACTTCCAATTTTAGTTCCAAAAGAGTTTAATTGAAATAAGGAAAATCCCCTGTTGTCAAAATTTGAACTATGCCTACGCATGGTATAATCCTTTGCCCATGCGTACGCATGGCAAATGAAATTGCAAATGAATTTTTTTAGTCCCCAAACTTGTAAATCATCATTTTTCATCGATTTTCATTCATTTCTTCCATTTTCACTTCAATTCATTGAGTTTTACCAATAAATACACAAGATTAAGCTATAATTCATCAAAAGTACTCTCAAATATTCACATTTATCGAACTAGATTAGTATGCAAATTACACTTATTGGATGAAATATAGTATATACCTGATTTTTGAAAGAACAAAATCAAATCTGATTTTTGAAGTGTTAAGTTAAAAAGTAGGGATAGGTGAAATTTCGTCTATTGTATACAGCAAGGGTCTAAAAGGACCCCACACACATGTGAGAGAGTTGTGTACCAAGTGTATACAAGTAGCGTTTTTGAAACAAAAATGCTGCTCAAGTCCCAAGCCCAAGTCCTAGCCCTAAACTCAGATCCATCTAATCTCTTTTTGACAAATCGTTCCGCTCTTTTTCTCGACTTCATCGATAGAATCATCCCTCCGGTCGAATTTTAGTATGAATGAGGCATGGACTACTAATCGAGGTTAATTCTTTGCAACTGAATATTGAGTTCGAAATCTATGGTACCTCCAATGAATTCTTTGTTTCAATTTTTAAAAGGAATAATTGATGTTCTTGATTGGTATTTTTCAATCTTAATTTGAAAGATTATGATATTGGGAGATGTGCTCTAAGTTGTAATTGCAATCTCAATTGCTATTGTGACACTTATGAAAAACTTAAACCCTAATTGTTTTTTTATAAATGTACAAATTAGCTTGACCAAAAAAAAATTAGCTTGATCCACCCACTAAATATAAGTCAGTCCAATATTTAATTAATCAAATGAATTAAACTTGGTCCATAAGTTAATTAATTTGATAAATTATGTTAAGCTCATTAATGAAAAAAATTCAATTAATAAATTCTACAAATGTCCAACACTTGTCAATTGTTAATTCATAATATCATTCTTCTAGTTCTTCCTTTTGTGTATGACCCATTAGGTTTCCAATTAAGATGTCATACAATGTGAATTATAATTTTGATCTAATCAAAATAAGATAAAATAAAACTCCATTTTAATTTATCATTTATTCAATTAAATTAATTAATTCACATTCGTCATCCTAAATTGAAATTTAGCAATGAGTCTAGACATTATATGTGACGGAAAATGTCATGTGGTGTGACAAATCAAATTTGTTTGTTTTCTTTGAAACTATAATCCCTTCGTTAAATGATTCGATCAATTGGGAGATATGAAAGTGTGTCATTCTCGATTATGGATTATATCGTTCATTCCACTTTATGTCAATAATAGTTGAAACTTTTTTCGACTTATGTACTTACCTTGACTAAGGATTTCGTTATTATCTTAACATAATGAAACATAGATCATAATCTCTTATTATCTAGAGTGACGAATCATCTATTGATCATTTAAAATTTTCATATGATTCTTGACATACTCGAGCGATATATTAGAGACTCTTTGTATACTAACATCCGACATCACCAAAGTATGATCGTCCTTATATAAGGTACTAGGAGGACGACAAGTCGAAGGACCAATTCCACTATCGAAAATCTGCGAGCTGTTTCATGTACACTTCCACTTGCAAATTTTCGTTAAGAAATGTAGTTTTGACATTCATTTGTCATATCTCGTAATTATGGTATTCAGTTTTTGCAAGTAAAATTTGAATGAACTTAAGCATGGCTACAAGTGAAAATGTTTAATCAAAGTTAGCTCATTGTCTTTATTTATAAAATTTTGCTACAAGCCTTGCTTTGTATATATGGACGTTTCAATCCATGTCAACCTCTTTATTGTAAACCCATTTACAGCTTATGAGTTTTATCCTATCAGGAAGGTCAACCAAAGTCCATACTTTGTTTTCATACATCGAATTCATCTTGAATTACATGGCATCTTGTCATCTCTTTGAGTCAACAATTGATTTTGCTTATGCGTAATTAATGTGCTCATCATCCCCGATTAGTAATGCCTGATTAGTAATCGTTAATTTGTACCTTCTAGGAAGTCGAATGATCTTATTAGACTTACACGGAGCCAGAGTATCATTAGGAGTCTCTATTTCCAGATCAAAAGTTTGTCTCTCAACAGGTGTAAGATCAACTCATGTTCATCTACTTGGTCAACTATATTTGTGAATTCTTGAACCTCTTCAAGTTCAATTTGCTCACGCTGTCCTTTCCTAAAATGAACTCTTTTTTCATAAAGACCATATTTCTTGAGACGAAGACTTCTTCTCAACGGGATTATAGTATTAATACCCAACTTTCTCTTTTGGATATCACACAGATATGAATTTATTGAACTTAGACTCTAGTTTATTCGATGTAGTGCGCTTCACATAAGTGTCACAATCCCAAACTTTATCTGAGTTTTGTTCGATGTAGTGCGCTTCACATAAGTGTCACAATCCCAAACTCGTATGCAGTTTTGTTAAGCGATTTAGATATGACAATATTTAGTGTGTAGCATATGCTAATTAGTACATGAGCCCAAAATGAATTTGGAATGTTTGCAAGTCTCATCATTGATCGCACCATATATAATAATATAAGATTCTTAATTTTAGATAAACCATTATGTTGGCAATATATGTAGCAGTGTCCTCTTCGTGAGAATCCCGAAAAAGGGATTCCTTGATATTGAAGAACTGATTTTAATTTATACAAGTTAATAACTTGGGTTTCTCCTTTAGATAATCTAAAAATTCAAGTTTAAGATATTCTCCACCTCGATCAGATTTTAGTGTGAGAATACATTTACTTAATTATTTCTCTACTTACAGTTTGAATTCCTTGAACTTTCAAGAGTTTCATACTTGAATTTTATTAAATATACATAATCATATCTAGAATGGTCATCAATAA